ATAAAGAAAATCAATTCCCGGTTACATTACTCATGTATCGTAAGAAAGTTAAGACTGTATATTATTAAATATATTTTGAACATAAATTAGAAGAAATGCATCTTGTAAAATTAAATTATTTAATAAATAAAAATTGTAACGAACACAATTTATTGGGCCGTAGTTGGCATTCATTACTGTACTTACACCGTTCCGCGTGACGGCCTAACACGAAGCAACACCGGCATATAGCCCCACTATATTGCCTACGGCGCACCACTACTATTCCCATGTCAGTAAAGCTTATTGTTTATCCACTTAATAGTTAATTAACACATTGAAGGTGATAGTTAACTATTGTAAAGTGCTTTATTGGACCAGTAGCAAACTGTAGGACTACCCAAGAACACCGATAGTCGACAACAATAATACCAAAATACATAATGAAAACACATCGATTACATCAGTCGGCATACGATGGATGGTTTATATAAACAGCGTCTGAACACAAGTTCCGAAGCACTCAACTATTACATTATGAAGTTAGCAGTGAACAGTCCTTTCGGCTATAAATTGAAGGATTGTTATTTGTTCGGTCATTAATGTAATAGCAGTGCTACACCGTCCGTCGCATGCCGTTTGTTGTTCCCCGTTCTCCGAATATTGTATCAATGTCGGTCGGCCACCAAGTTAGAGCATATTGAAACACACTTATCGTTTTTCGCTGTCCTTTTCCGTGTTGTATCAGTGTCTCTCGGCCACTTGGTTAGATCGCTGATACACATCGTGACCAGTAGTACGCGCACGTTTTGCCTTTACCGCTCCGTCAGTGCCGCCGCCACCGAACTTGAACGACATGTGCCACCAGTCAGTGGAGAGAGACATTAGCCTGCTTTAAACGTAAGCTATTTCGGGTGCGCTTGGAATAGACGCGCAAATAACGCGCGATAAGACTATGTATTAAAAGAAACATGAGTGTGCCGACTTAGCACTTGTCTAAACCTGTTACAGACTTGTCCGCCGTCCCAAGTTGTTATCTTTAGATGCGCCTGTTGGATCACGCGTGATTTGAACGATCGATGAATCGAAATATATAAACTTTAGTAACAGTGACAGGAGCGTATTTTAAAGGGGGGAGAGAGAAGGGGGCGATCGCCTCCTCCTCTGAATCCGTATTATAGGAATCGATTATACGAGTATGTGAGATGCTCATTACAAATTCTTGTAATATGGATCATTTTACAACGAAATCAAATTACGCGTGGCTGTGAATACCGAATTGGGCATTTTGCCGGGTCTATACCTACTTAGTGAAAAATCAAATAAAACACAAGCGTAACTTTCAAAACACAGAGAGGTGTTAAAAAAGGGCGTATATCGACTCCACTGAAAAGGTCTTTTTACCTGTAAGAAACCTATCGATTGCGCCGAATATTTGTATACATATAACATCGCTATATACACATTAAATTATATATACACTATGTAATATATAACTAGATATATATTATTAAAGCAAATTCAGCTATAGTTGATTATAAAACCATAATAGAAAATATAAATATAGATTTGTTAAAAGATACGACAATTCAAAACAAATACCTTACATTGATGGCTACTTGAAAATGATTAACAAAATGACTAGATATGCATCTAAAGGCGCGTACACACGAGCGAACAAAAATAACGAATGCTCACGAACGTTCGTGTACGACCCATCATGCGTCCGTGTAGACGACGTTCGCGAGCATTCGCAAGCGTTCGAGAGCGTTCGCTGAATAGGTCGAATGGACTCGCACGGCGAGCCGATCACTGTCGGTTTTTCAGTCATGCTCAAATAATTACCACGAGCATTCGTGCCGTCGTTTGGACGGTAAATCAATTCAAACGTGCGTTAAAATAATTAATACAAAAGTACTTAACTTTTTACATTTGTTTTTATCAACTATTTGAAAATGGATTGGCATAGAAAAGAATGCTTGAATGTAATTGAAGAATTTAGATAACAAGAAGTATTGTGGAACTCAAAAAACTCATCATATTTTTCAAAAAATGGTAAAAAAAACATGATACTTGATGTCACTTAGCAAAAGAATTGAAATGACCGGTTGAAGAAATTAAAAAAAAAAAATTCTAAGTTGACAGGGTTCATATCGTAGAGAAAAAGCGAAAGTAAAAAAAAGTTATGGAACTGGAAAAGGTAAAAATTAATAATTAGTATGAAAATCTAGAATTTAAGCCAAAACACTACGTTTCGATTATTAAAGTATGTTAACAACTGTGCTCGACTCTGGAATGGGCTCGAACAGCTACGCATAGTATATTTTGTGCGTCACACATACATTTTGTGTCCACACGAACAGAATTCGTTAGAATGCTCATGCGTGCTCGTTCGCTTTCGAGTGAGCTCACTTCGAACGTCGCACAATGTTCATTCGTGTGTGCCTTAATACTTGTCATCATATATTTATGAAATGTAAATCTATAAAATTTTCCAAAGCTATAATTAGCCCAAATACAACAACCGATTATTACGCAATATTCCTCAGTATCGGAAATTAAAAACAAATAGAAACAATACTCCAAATCCATTTACCCATAAAAAATAAATATCTCAAAGCTCTCAAACTTTATTGCCACTCAATCATGGGAAACTGTTCTAGATAAAAATGACGTAAACGAAGCCACAGATAACTTTATAAATATTATAAAAAATTTAATGAAAAAAGCCACCAATAATATAAACATTTCTTCAAAACTAAAAAAAATTAAACCTAAATCTCTCATTAAAGCATATACATAAAGATCATTTACATTAACAAGTTAAAAAACACTCTAATAATGATATTTTAAAACAATACTATAAACAATTTAGAAATAAAGTTACACAACTTATCAGAAATTCTAAAAATATACATTATAAAAACGAATTTGAAAAATATAAAGATAATCCGAAAGAGAGTTGGAAAATAATTAATGAATTTACTAACAGGAATACAATAAATAATAAAATTTAATATCTCATAACAAAAGAGGGTAAGAAAATGTATTCCAAAGAAAACAGTGAAATCATTTCTAAACATTTTAATGACTATTTTATGAATATTTCTTCTGATTTATTAAAAAAAATCAAACAAAATCAAAAAGAAACTCAAGGAAATAACCAGTTGACTATGAAAAATAATTATTCCCCTAACAAACCGTTTTTTGACAATTTTCATAGTATTAACGAACAAGAAATAATAAATTGTGTAGTAGAATTAAAAAACCGATCTTTATCCGGAATTGATTGTATAACGGTTGAAATACTAAAAGAAAATATATCTTTCCTTGTTTTTCCTCTAGAGTATATGTTTAATCTTTTTCTTTCACAATCAATTATACCTGATGTATTTAAATTATCCATAGTAACACCAATCCATAAAAAAAGAAATTCCAATTCAATAAATAATTTTCGGCCCATATCTATAATCTCTAACATTGCAAAAATATTTGAGAAAATTATTAAAAAAAATTTAGTTACTTTTTTAGAAAATAACAATCTTTTTCATTTTTCGTCCAGGCAAAGGAACTGATCAAGCAATAGCAAAACTAACTAATTTTATTTACAAATCCTTAGATGATAATAAAAAATTTGTCACAGTTTATCTATATTTAGCAAAAGCCTTTGATACTATTGATCACAACATTCTTATAACTAAATTAAACCAAATAGACATTTGTGGTGATAATCTAAAATCATTTTCTTCATATTTAACTGACAGAAAATAGTGTGTCAAAATAAATAATACTTCAAGCCCTTTCATACAAATTAAATGTGGAGTCTCTCGAGGTACTGTTATTTCACCAATTTTCTTTAATGTACAAATAAATAGGAATCCATGAACTTCCCCTTAAAAGGCAAATTATTTGTTACGTGGATGAAACTGCTATGTGAAGCAGACTCATGGGATGAAATATTTGAATTAATAAGTAGAGATCTAAAATTAATAACACAATGGCAGCTCTAAAATAATCTATTTCTTAATTTTGAAAAAACTCACGTCATTTTTCATGTTTTGACCAAAAATTCAATACCAGCAAAAAAATGTATAAACATTCATAATACATTTTGCTATATTCCAACATAATGTCTTTGTGAAACAATTATTATATCTGACTGTGTTAAACACTTAGGAGTTGAAATGTGCAATAATATGAGGTGGAAAGACCAAATAAATGTTCTAAGTAAAAAAGTAAGAAAAATAATTTATATTTTTAGAGATTTGCGAAACATATTAGATTCGACTAAATAGCAGCAAGTATATTTAACATTAGTAGAATCGGTCATTAACTATGGTATAATTGGTTGGGGTGGTGCGTTCAATAATGTTCTAAAAAAATTACAAGTCTGTCGAAATTAAATATTGAAAGTGACCTTTAATAAAACACTACACGGAAAAAAATAATTTTGTAATAGTTAACAGTTGAATATTTTCTAGTTAGGTTAACTATTATGTAGCTACCGCAACTAGTTGTTTAGGTGACATTACAACTAATAGTTGTGTATACTATTCAGGAATAGTTGAATAATACTTGTAAAAATAACTAAATGTTACAGTTATGGGATACATTTAAGTATTCAGTTTGGTTCATACAATTCTAATTTATAGTGAAGTATTTTTAAACTATTCAAACTATATTTTTAACTATAGGTTAATATATAGTATAATATATAGCTATATAAAATAAATTGAAATTATAATAATAGTATGTTGGAATCATAGAGTAATTACTCTATGGTTGGAATAATAATTATGGGATATCCCTGCAGATATATATATATACTATCATAGGCATGTCTGAAAATTTCGTGCAGGTAGGAACAATAACATTTTTTCTATATAGTATATAATTTATATACTATATATAGTATATATCTGTGGTTTTCCCATAAATTATTTGTGTTGATTTATTGTCGTCACCCCCCCCCCCCCCGCTGATGTGGTTTACGGGACACGGGTCTTTTACAGTTTAACTGTCTTTATCATTTGATGCACGAATAGCATTGCCTGACTGCCCTCCGTCATTCTGCATTTCAAAGTGCTAATCGTAATTCCGTTACCTTGTGACGTGTTAATTTACATTTTGTAAACGTGTTTGGTTTGTTTTTCTTAATACATTTTATAATAGTTGTACCTATTACTTTGACGAAGACAATCGAAATTCGGTAAGTAGTATCATAATCAATTAATTCAATATTTTACTTATTCAAATTTCAAGTTCACTCATGGTTAGAATTACCAAATTTGGCTAGGGTTTCGTCTACACGTTCTGTGAATTCTAGGATGGTGTGTATAAAAATACTTAATTTTGTAATAAAAATTATAATTCTTTATTTTAAATAAAATATTTGTAGAACTTAATGCAAGTTATATATTAAATTCATTAAAATAAATGTTTTCATTCTTATAATCCCTCTAAAAAACTTCGAAGCCTCCTCACATTTTTGTTAAAGTTGTACAGTCGTTGCCAGATAAATTGAGACGGCGACGGCGGCGCGATAACGGAAAACCAGTGGTCCTCCGTATTTCAATATTATTACTGAAAATATATCAATAAACCAACTATTGTTACAAAAAATATTTTACGATATTAATTTCAAATCATATATTCTGATAATAATTTTTTATTTAAGAACAAAAAGTCATTCGCTCGTCGTACACCGTGGCGTTACGTGCTCTCACTCTTGTTCCACAGTGTTTTTTTTTTTTTCTGTCATCCGAAAAATGTCCGATAATCTTGGAATTAACACCAATCGTTTCATGCTGTCACGCTGATGCCAAATCTGCTGTCCTTCGGAAGTCACAGAGTGTTTTTTACCCATCAGCGGTGAAAATTTGGTAATTTTAATTAATTCAATCATTTACCGCTCTGTTATTTAATTATAGCAGGTAATACTTATCTTCGAACTCCCCGGCCTAGCCGGCGGTCGTTCTTATCCTATCTCATTAATAATGACCCGCACTAATAGACCGTCATCGAGCAGTTCTCACACTACCATTAAACATACGAACACAATAAAACCAAATCTGTCTAATAATAATTCGAATCGTACACATTACGTTTCAACTTTATCGGATACTTCAAATGATGTCTTTACGGACGATATTCCTAATGACCCAGATTTTAAATTAGTCACATATAATTCAAAACGTAATCTTTCTTCTACCAGCCCAACCGGAACACCCGACAATAAGAAATCAAAACCCGTCTTTGTCAGTTCAAATAGATTTAACCACCTCCAAGTACCGGACAATGATAATGATAATGTAAACAATATTGAAACGAATAATGTCGATCAACCAAACCACATCCCATTACCTCCACCAATATTTGTACGAAACGTTTCTGATTTCATTGAATTAAGAAATCAATTAATAAAGCTGATCGGCCCACAGTCCTTCAGCTTTAAGTCATCAGTCAATAACCTTAAAATTAACACTACCAACCCTGACTCGTACAGAGAAGTCATAAAATACCTGAAAATAGGCAATGCCGAATATCACACTTATCAAGCCCGTGAAGATAAAGCTTTTCGCATTGTCATACGCAACTTGCATCCGTCTTCTTCAACTTCCGAAGTAGGTGCTGCCATTGAAGATATCGGATATTCTGTCCGCCAAGTTTCAAATGTTATCCACAAATCTTCAAAACGTCCCCTCCCAATATTTTTTGTTGATCTTGAACCCGCTCAAATCAATAATGAGATTTTCAAATTGACCTCGCTGCTTCATACCAAAATAAAGGTAGAAGAGCCACATAAAAGACGTGAAATCGTTCAGTGTTCCAAGTGCCAAGAATATGGTCACTCTAAAGGATACTGCGCTCATCCTCCCAGATGTGTTCGTTGTGCCGATTTCCATCCCACTACACAGTGTACACAATCAAAAGATACTCCTCCAACCTGCGCCTTATGTAGAGGAAACCATACCGCAAACTATCGAGGATGTTCAGTCCATAAAAGCTTACAGCGTTCAAACTTCAAATCAAATTCAAATTTAAAAAATCATGTAAATAATAACACTATTGTAAATAAGCAGGAAACGCTATCCAGTGTAACGACCCATCCCCCCCCTCCTAACATGAATGACAACAAAATTTTTCCTAACCTTACCCAAAATCATCAAAGCCATAGCTCTTCAAGTAAAACTGATTCCCAATCTAATTCCACTGATAGTATCTCAAATAATCAACTTTCATCTTTTTTAACTGAGTTCAAACAATTGATCAATCCACTAATTCAATTACTCACCACTGTAATAAATAAACTTATTTCACATAATGACAAATAATCTCACCAACAATAAAACTCTTAAAATCATTCTTTGGAATGCCAACGGACTCAAACAGAATGAGTCCGAACTACTTAACTTTCTTATAGTAAATCAAATCGACATAGCTCTAATCACCGAAACTCACTATTCAACTAATTCCAGTCATTTTTTCCCCGGCTTTAATATTTACAAAACCAACCATCCAGATGGTACGTCTCACGCGGGTTCCGCAATTCTAATATCTTCCATAATCCAACATCATCCTCTGCCGAGTTTTCAAATCCCCTCTATTCAAGCAACCAGCATTTCTATTTCAATAAATCATACTCCTATTACTGTTTCTGCAGTGTACTGTCCTCCTTCACCTCAAATATCTCAACTCCACTTAGATCAGTTTTTTTACTCCTTAGGGCGCAACTTCATCGCCGGTGGTGATTTTAATGCCAAGCACCCCCTATGGGGCAGCCGTGTCGAAAATCGTAGAGGATACCTATTTTATAATTCCATTCAAATGAACGGCTTTTCAACTATTTCACCCCCTGGTCCTACTTACTGGCCTACTCATTCGAACCGTCAACCTGACCTACTGGACTTTTTTATATCGTCAATACCCAACCATTTAAATCATACTATTCAAAACTTATGTGACCTATCTTCTGATCATTCACCCGTTCTACTAAAAATTATGGAGCTCCCAACTCTAACTCCTTCGCGTCCCTCCCTTTCCAAAGGTCCAGTTAACTGGAAACAATTTTCATCAAAATTAGAAAATTCTACGAACCTAAAAATTTCCCTTAAAACATGCAATGAAATTGAATCCGCAGCTCATCAATTAGTTAAATCAATTCAATCAGCTGTCTACGAGTGCTCTTATCCTTCCAATCAGAAATGTCACTCAAATCTCAAATCTTTTATCCTGCCTCCGAATATAAATATTTTAATTGCTGAAAAACGCAGGGCTCGCTCCCGTTGGCAAAGATCAAGACTACCTTCAGACAAGTCAGCTTTCAATAATCTATCTAACACCATTAAAAAACTAATCCAAAAATACAAAAATGACCTTTTTGTCACAAAATTTAAATCTTTAAACACACAAGACGGTACATTGTGGAAAACAACTAAAAACATGCTAAAATTAAAAGAATTCTCTTGTCCTATTAAAAAAGCAGATGGATCGCTCGCTCTTTCAGACTTAGATAAGGCCAATCTTTTTGGGGAACACCTCTCGAATATTTTCAAACCTCACCTTGATATTACTCCAAGTACCACACAACTAGCCAAAATAAATGATTTTCTTGATGCTCCACTACCAATGTCTCTCCCTATTAAACATGTCTCCCCATATGAAGTTGCTAACTTGATCCAAAGATTGAAGCCCAACAAATCCCCAGGTCATGACTTAATAACAAATAAGATTTTAAAATATCTCCCCAAAAAAACAATCCTTTTGCTAACTTTCTTATTTAATTCCATGTTAAGATTGTCTTATTTCCCTACCATCTGGAAATTATCAATTGTTATCCTCATACTTAAACCAGGAAAACCAACCAATATTGCAACCTCATATAGACCCATTAGTCTACTCCCAGTGATTGGTAAGCTATTCGAGAAGATTATTTTAAAAAGACTTAGACCAATAATTGAATCACATAAAATTATTCCCGACGCTCAGTTTGGTTTTCGAGCACACCACTCCACTATACAACAGGTTCACAGACTAGTCGACAAAATTTCTTCCTCCTTCGAAAATAAAAACTATTGCCCGGCAGTCTTCCTAGATGTTGCTCAAGCCTTTGACAGGGTTTGGCACAATGGCTTACTATATAAACTGAAACTATTCCTCCCTGCTCCACTTTACTTACTAATTCGCTCTTACCTTGAAAATAGAACCTTTAAAGTTCGTCAAGGCAATTCTTTTTCTTCTGTCTTTCCAATCCTAGCAGGTGTTCCTCAAGGAAGCGATCTCTCTCCTGATCTCTACAATATTTTCTCTTCTGACATACCTCAAACCAATGACACCATCATAGCTACCTATGCTGATGACACAGCGATCCTATCATCCAATAAGAATCCAACCGTAGCATTCAACGCCCTTCAAAACCACCTAGATCTTATAGATAAATGGTCCTCTAATTGGAAAATTAAAATTAATGCCGCCAAATCTGTTCATGTTCCTTTCACTCTAAATAAAAAAAATCTACCCACTCCCACCCTCCATGAAATTCCTATTCCCTCCTCATCTCAAGTAAAATACCTTGGTATTATTTTAGACAAACGTTTAACCTGGGGCCCTCACCTTAAAAACAAAAGAAAGTCACTCAATTCTAGACTACACCTATTACGTCCCTTACTAAAATCTAAACTTCCACTTCATAATAAATTAATTTTATATAAAGCAATGCTACGTCCAATCTGGTCATATGGTGCACAAATATGGGGTTGTGCCAAACCATCACAATTAAAAACTATCGAAGCCTTCCAATCGATCTCTCTCCGTACAATCACGTCCGCTCCTTGGTATATTTCCAATCATACCCTCCACAAAGATTTAAACATAGAAGCAGTTGATAATTTAGTTAAAACTTACTACAAAAAGTTCCACTCAAAATTATTTCTCCATCCCAACCCACTTATCGCAAATCAACACACGGTATCAATCCCGGACAACCCCCCCCGTCGGCTCAAACGTTGTTGGTGTCGTGATCTTTTAGACTGAAAATGTGCTAGTTTAGCAGTCACGTCATGGGTCCTATCACTGGATAGGTTCCCAAATCGCTGTTTCTTGTCCGTCATATATTGTTAACATATTTGCTTATTGTATTTTTTTTTATATACAGATTGTAAATTTTATATATTTAAAAAAAAAAAAAAAAAAAAAAAAAAGAACAAAAAGTAGAAATTGTAAAATAATATAATTAATATAATAATAACACATAATATTAATAATATGATGAAATAATAACAACATCTATATGCATTATTATAAACAAATATTGTTGATACGACTGAAGTGCTTGCGCGGTCAAAACACATCGGGTTAGGTTAGTTGTTTTTAGCAGTGTAGGGCAACCAGAACGGGAGAGAGAACAGAAAATTCTGCAGACAATTTTTTGCACTAAGTCGGGTTCGAACTGGTAACTGCGCGCGTCGTAGCTAACTGTAAGACCTTTGCACCACATTATCAGCGACTAGTTTGGGCTACACTTAATGAAAAGCGCCGCCGCCGCCGTCTCAATTTATCTGGCAACGACTGTAATATTGTAGTCACCTCCTAAATCAGTTTAGTAATAATTTATCGTATTTTGATTGTTAAAGGACCATGAAACAAAAAAATTATTTTTACTTATTCAATAGATAGTTAATTACTATAACTAACGGTGGTACTAAAATTTGTATACGTCGATTCGTTGAGTCGCTAGAGCTCAAGAGAGATAGGCGCGTGACGTCATAAGATCACACGTCGCGGCGGCGGCCTAAACTTTTATACAGAAATCGCCGACGCGGCCTAGGTTATTATTTATACATTTTGTTATATTAAATTCTGCTATAAATAACTTCGTAGTCACAACAATGAACGGACGAATAAAAATACTCTATTTGGATAATTATATTTTTATTAAAAATAAAACGTATTCTATGTCGATGAACGACGATCAACCGCATTTTACGTTTACACGTCTTTATAAACGAACGTAGTTTTCAATTTTTATATTTTTATCGTTGGGATCTTATTTTACGAGGTAAAGTAATGTATTATAAATTATAATATTATAATGCTATAGTTAAATTTATTTTATTTATTAATAATAATAATTTGTTAATTACATGCTTAAATATTTTATAAAAAGTTGAAATAGTTTAGTACCTATATTATGTTACATTTTATAATAAGAAGTGTTCTAGCATAGGCAAAATATGTATTAAAACAATTTTTATTGGTTTTTGACAGTGTATTACAAATATTTAAATATGTCAATACGTCCATATAGTTTTGAGCCCACTGTGAACGATATTGATATGGCTGATATTCAGCCAGGTACAAATGAACCAGATATAGGAGTACAATTAGAAGGTCGTTCAAAAATGAATGTAAACGATTGGTGTATATGTAATAAATGTATTAGATTTACGATAAAAACGTGCGATCATGATCCATTAACAAACGAAGAAATAAATAATAAATTGTGGTTAAAATCCGATGACGAATCATATTATGCATTAAAAAAAGTTATAACTGCAAAAGATTTTATAAAAGATTTACCACATGCAAAACATTTTGTGCATACTGGCCGTTTGGAATCTTATCATAATGTAAGGTTAAAATATATGCCAAAACGGATACATCTGAAATATAGAGGTATGTACATAAGATCTATTTTGGCTATATTGGACCATAATTACACTACAAACAAACAACTAGTAGGTGATAAAATGGTATACTCAAAACCGTTAGGAAAATATACAATAAAAAATGTATATGAGCGTACTGATACTGATTGGCGAAAACAAATTATGCATGAAGTACTTGATTTAGCTAAAAAAAAACAAACGAATATAGCATTATAACAATTCCAGAAGAAATAGAAATTCCCAAGTCTATAGCTCCAATACCAAGACCAAATATTGAAGAAATACGTCCTAAAAGATATTCAAGATTTTCAATTTAATTTTATAATTCTGTTCAAAATGTTTAAATTGTAATTTTTATTTTTTAGTATAATACATATTTATTCATAAATATATATATATATATATATATATTTACGTGAAATATTGAAAAAATATTATTTCATTAGCTATTCTAATATTATATTAACTTATAGGAAATAAACATTAATTATGTACATTTAAATTTAATACGACCAAACGTATACCAAATTGTATTAAAACCTACATTCTTATGACTATTGTCTTAATTTGTAATTTTTGTTAAATATAACAAAAAATATAAATAAATAACCTAGGCCGTGTCGGCGATTTTTGTATAAAAGTATAGGCCGCCGCCGCGCCGTGTGATCTTATGACGTCACGCGCCTATCTCTCTTGGGCTCTAGCACCTCAACAAATCGACATACACAAATTTTAATACCACCGTTGGTTATATTAATTAATTACCTATTAATTGAATCAAAGTCATTTTTTTTTGTTTCATGGTCCTTTAACTATATATTGTAACAATGTCCACGATTACCCGCCACATCTATCATAATTCATAATATCCATCTATCACATTAAATTTTTAAAGTTAAATGCATACATTTTTTTCTGAATTGGTAACTAAAGCTAAATTCTGGCCCTATGTATTATTTGAAAGCCAATATATGTTCCTATCCTAAGTTCATATTTTTTCAAAATATACTTTTTTAGTTCATAATAATATAGAGGTACATAATACATTTTATACAAAACTTATATTTTATATTAATTTTGTATAACTATAATTTTTCTGGATTATAGAATACAATGGATTATTATACGGTGTCAAAATTAAAAGAATGGGATCTGCATACATTATTAGGTGTTTTTAAAGGTATCTAAACTGTATTAAAGTATTCATCAATGTATTAGATATAATTTATTTCATGTACTTATATTATTTATCATAATTTAAGTAGGTAATCTTTTAAACTTTATTTTCAAATTAGTTTTTTTGTTTTACTATATAACCAATATTTTAATACTTCAAATTAGAACAAGAAATTGACAAAAACTCATTAATTAGATTGACAGAATCTATGATTAAAGAGTTAATACCAAAAATTGGAGTACGTTCAAAGTTTACTAACCAACTTAATATTTTAAAACAAAACATGCAAATGGAGGTAATTTAATCAGTTATTTTTTTAGTATTAGATTAGTGTAAAATACTTGTTTTAATAGGAAGATATAAAAAACGAAATGGAATGTAGCAATGAATCTGAGATTGTGCAATTGGATTTTAATATAACTGAAATAGATATAAAAAATATTCCAGTAGAATTTATTGAAGAGAATAACAAGGATATTCAAACTAATCATTCTATAAATGTGAATGTAGCTAATGCAAAGGTATGATTATTTTTGTGTTGTTTATTTTCCAAACACAGGTTAGGTATCATGGTCGTATTCAGCTTTCATTTTTTGAGGGGGGGTTCATTTTAATATAAAACTAACATCATTTTCAAGAATTTGAAATATATATATATATTTATTTTTTTTTTTTTTTCACGATTTTTAGGATTATCAAAGAAAGTCAATACAAATGTTTTTCAATGTAATATCTGGGAGGAGGGTTAAACCCGAAAAATTCCCTCTGAATATGGCCATGTTAGGTATACCTTGGTCTGAACTTAGTGGAAAATATAAAAAATTAATAAAACAATACTTGCTGTTATTTAGTGCTATTATATTTTAAACTAATTTTAATAATTATTATTTTCATCAATTCTAATTGAACATTGATTATTTTTAGCAAAATATTGTTCAATCTACAGAACAACAACTTAAAGATATTTTGATGTCTTCTCATGAAGGGAAGTATATATATGAATGTTATCAAAAAGATAATTTTCTTACATTTAATATGAGAAACAAGCTTGTACGATTAATTATAGACCATCATTTACATAATAATCACAATGAAAAAATATCTATAAGTACAATACAGCAGCTTTCTTTAAATATTGTTCAACTTTTTCCAAATGAGTCTGTGCATACTTACTTTATACCCTACAAGAAAGAGAATGGACATATTAGACCAAATCGTGGAAAGTTATGGGATCGTTATTGTAATGTTCGAAAAGATATTAGGAAATTAAATGACAACATATCAAATAAGTCTGATCGTATCATTTATTCTACTGATAATATTGCTGATCAAGGTTTAAATATTACTTTTTATACCTGTACCTATAAAAAAGTTTTATTTTTAACTTAACATTCAGGTGTTATTGAGAATGATATATTGTGGCTAAAAAATAACCTTGAACCTATGAATATATTGATGGATAAATGGAAAAATACTAGGGACTATAGATATAATAAAATGATAATATGCCAAGAAGAACTATACTATTTTAAAGAATTTCCATCTATTAGAGATAGTCAAGGTTATCAGTTGGTTAGTAAAACTTAATTTGTTATAGTCAATATTAAAAACATCCATGTATAATAAATTTAGTTGATTTTTAATTTACACTTAGAAATAATAAAGTATTATATTGGATACCTACTATTATAATGAATCAATGATAATGTATATTTCTAGATTGAAATGGATTTTAATGAAATGTATTCACAAAAAGATGTTATGCTATATGACAGATTTCCCAGTTTGGTCAAAATTTTACCAAAATATATAAAAAAGTTTATACCCAAACTTGTAAAAGACCCAAACTTTTTAGTATTGTCAGACATTAAAACTCTTGATTCACCAGGCAATAGAAGAGTTTATTTTATTAAGATATTTATTATTTTGTATAGTATTAAAAACTCCTTTTTTGTATTTACTTTCCAGATCATATTACTGCTGCATTGTTATTAATTCCAAGGTTATTTCCATCAATAACTGTTAGATTGTGTTCAAATAATGGTGGAACAAAAAACCTAACCTGGAGACCATCAAATGAAGAGATTCTAGAAGGGTTCATCTGTGTTATAAAAGTAATGTAATTATAAAAAATAACATGTTGAACATTGCGCTTAATATAAATAATTTTTTTTTACAGAATGTTGCTCAATTAAATGAAGTTATTAGCATCAAAAATACAAAGGCTACTTCATTTGGTATAACTGTTCAGCCATATATTGCTTTGATATGTTCAGATCCTCAGAACGAATTGGTTGTGACAGCATCGTATATAATTATAAATAAGTATATATTTAAAGTTGAAACGCCACTAAAAGCAATTGATATTTGTTTTAAAAGTTTTTTTGCCTTAAATTTAATATACCCTGTTCAATCAAATCACATATGGGAATTTATTCAAAAATTTTTTTATGATATATATTTAAAAAAAGATAAAAGATATCAATTTGTTGATAATATTATAAGTGATTTTAAATTAATTAGTAACAGTGATTAAATTTATAAGCTATTTTATAATATATATTTTTTTTATATTAAAGATAAGTTATTCAAACAATAATAATAATAATAATAATTTTTTTCATTTATAATATTTCTTTAGTAGATATTTTGTACCTCATATATTATTTATGTTTATCCTTTATTTTTAATACATTTAAAAATTGTTAAATATAATATTGCCTCAATGTTTTAAATGCTTTTCTCTATTCAGTAATTATGATTTATTATTTCTACATCTTAAAGTTTACCATCAAAATATATCTCCTTATAAATGTCTTGAAAATAATTGTTTTAAGGTTTTTAACTGTATCAAATCATTTAAAAAGCATATTAAAGATCATGGTAATAATTTAAATGTTGAACAAACTACTATTCAAAATCCAAAAAATGTTCAACCTCATCCTTTTGAACTTGTAAATATGGGTCATAAAACTGATAATTAAAATATTAATATTAATAATTCTCAAGCAACCACTAACAATTTAATTTAAAACAATGAATCTTTTGTTATGATTAAGCATTAATGTTACTATCAAAATGGTATAATGAATCAGGTGTGCCAAGAAATAAAATTCAAACTATTATAGATGATTTCACATCATTTTTGAAAGATTTTTTACCACAAATTCAGAATAATGTAAATATTCAGTTAAAAAATAATGTTAAATCAACTGTTGAAATAAATGCAATGTTTAACACAATTACTAATCCTTTCAAACGTTTAAACACTGAACAAGATTTAAAGCTTTAGAAGAATTAAATGTATTAATTAGACCAAAATTTATAAATTTGGGTTATCGGTGAAATGATAAACTTTCAATTTAATTTAATTTATTAAATTAAATTAATTAAAGCTCATATTAGAATATAGGTAATCATGTACAAATATAATAATGCATTGTTATTTGAAATATGGATTAAATATTAAAAATTATGTCTTATAACAATAATTAATATTTATAAACCGGTACTTCTCAATCGCGATAAAAGAAGTACATTAAAAAAGACTTAGTTTCCTGGTGCCTATAAGCCGAGGAAAATATAATTTATATTGTAATTTTAAACATTATTTATGAACTAAAGAAAACATAAGTAAATATTATTAAAAACATTTTTTAAATTATAACAAAAATGAATGCTTTAATGACAAAAAAAAGAAATGAAAAGAGCTATCCAGAAGCCTAGAGACTACTTATGCAGACAACACAAAAAAAATATATTTAATAATAATACAATAAATTACTAATACTATTAAATTTATAAATTTAGAGTATAAATAATTTAAATGAATATTGAATGCAAAAAATTGATTTAAGTAATGAAAAAATATAATGTACGTAATCGAGAATACTTAATTATTGTAAGTTTAAAAAGGTAATGAATTAAATATAAAAAAATAAAATAGTAACTAAAAAATAAAAAATGAATTGATTTAATTATAATTACAGTTGTTATTCAAAATAAAAACGACGTACCGTTATTCCTGGGAGTAAGTAGATAAGTGATTGTCATTCGTAAGTTCATTTCACTCAGGATCGGTTTCTAGATTTCAGCGTTTGCTCTAATAAAAAGAACAAATACAATATTTCAATAATTAATTGCACTTAAATAATTAAAGAAAAATAAATAATTATTTATTTATTTTATTAGTATTAATATATACAATGGACAGGAGTCATAAAAAATATAATTTGTAATAATGACAATATTTAACAAATATAATTAGAATAAAACAAGTAATATTAGACATAGAGTATCTGTCTCATCGTTGCTCCATCCGCGGTGTGCCACCAAAAATTATTATTTAAATTTAAATGTTTTTTATTTACAACAATAAATTTTAAAACTAACCGATGGAATATTGAAGTCTGTTATTGTTGTAATAGTTTTTATACACTCTCATTATGGTTTCAAAATAATTTTTACTAAAATTATTATTCTATAGTGTATGTTAGAATATAATTATCTACAAATACAACAATGTATTTTAATTTGAAATATGGATTAAACATTAAAAATTATGTCTTATAACAATAAATAATATTCATAAATACTTCTCAATTGCGATAAAAGAAAAACGTTAAAAAAGGCTTAATTTCCTGGTGCTTGGAGGCCGAGGGAAATATAATTTATATTGTAATTTTAAACATTATTAATGTACTAAAGAAAACATAAGTAAATATTATTAAAAACATTATACTTTAAATTACAACAAAAATGAATGCTTTAATGACAAAAGAAAGAAATGAAAAGAGCTATCCAGAAGTCTAGAGACTACTTATGCAGACGAAATTTAAAAAATGTATTTAATAATAATAAAAAAAAATTACTAATACTATTAAATTTATAAATTTAGAGTATTAATTATTTAAATGAATGTTGAATGCAAAAAATTGATTTAAGTAATGGAAAAATATTATTTACATAACTTAGAATACTTAATTATTGTAAGTTTAAAAAGGCAATGAATTAAATATAAAAAAATAAAATAGTAAGTAAAAAACATAAAATTGATTTAATTATAATTACAGTTGTTATTCAAAAGAAAAACGACGTACCAGAATTCGTGGGAGTATGTAGGTATGTGTTTGTCTATCGTAAGTTCGTTTCACTCTGGATCGGCTCTTAGATTTCGGCTGTTTATTATAATATGTAAAATAAATAAAATGTTTTAATATTCAATTACATTTTGAGAATTAAAGAAAAATAAATTATAATTTATTTTTTTATTTTATTAGTGTTAATATATACAATGGACAGGAATTATAAAAAATATAATTTGTAAGAATGACAATATTTAACAGACACAAATAGAATAAGACAAATAATATTGGACATAGATTATGTATAATATTAGGTAATATTGGACATGGATTGTCTCATCGTTGCTCATTGTCGCATATGCCGCCAGAAAAAAAAAAATTTAAATGTGAATATTTTTTATTTAAAATTATTAATTTTAATTATGAATAATATTAACCGATGAAATACTAAGATCTGGTTAAGTTAAAAAAATTTTTATACATTCTCATTTAAGTTTCAAAACGATTTTTACTAAAATTATTATTCTATAGCGCATGTTTGTCTTATTAAATCATATCTTTAACTATTTATGTATAATCGCAGAATATTTTATGTTGTAATAATATAACAAATAATTTGTTATTTTTAAATAACAAATATAAGCCAATTACTACTTGCAAAATTAACATTATACATTATCAGAGTATAGTCATATGTGTGCTCGGGCATCCCCCTAAATGTAGTAAACGGGGCCCCTAAAACATATGTCTAAAAATGAGGATTTCTTATTTTAATTGATGTTGCATAAATTAAAAGTAATTTATTCTAATATATTCGCCAAAAAATAAATCATGTTTCATATAATAATAACTAAAACTAAATTTTCGTGCAAAAACTTATTATGATAACACGGGGTTGTCCAACTGGCGGCCCGTGGGCCGTATCCGGCCCGCGATGCTATTAACTGTAGCCCGCGTAAGGCTTTACGGAAATCATTTATTTTCTTTAAATGCTACCATTGTAAAAAAAGATGAAAAAAAGAAAAACACAAAATACATAATAAAAAATATTTATAGGTATACATATACGAGTATATACTTATAGGCATAAAATATATTATACAAAAACAGTTTAATAATTATCAATTATATTAAAACACGATTAGTCATGACTAGAAATGACTAAAGAGCAAAAGTGTTTTGTGTTGACTATTACTTATCAGTGTGCGGGTTTTCACTGAATTATATGTGTTCTATTTTTAATCAGTCATAATAAACTGTCAAGTGTCCGTCGCGCCGTTAATCGCCACGCGCCAGTGTGCTTCGACGAGTTGTCTGTTACATATCTTAGTTAATTATTTAATTTTTTGTCTTGATTCCTTAAACTTCAATATAATTATGAGTGTAAAACGTAAAATTGACAGTGAGAACAGGAGTTATAAATGAAAGTTGGGAGAGTGATTACTTGAATACTAACAATAATGGAAAGTTGCAGTGTTTAGTGTGCATGAATGTTGTTTCTGTGCCTAAAGAATATAATGTGAGAAGACACTACACAACAATGCATGAAAAGAAGTATGCTATGTATACAAATGAAAGTCGGCGTGCGCTAGTTGCAGATTTGAAGAAAAAGCTTAAACAGCAAACTGGTATTTTCACCTGACTTACAACTTGAGTTATGTGACCTTCAAGCTGACATGTTTCTAATCCCCCGACAAGAAAAGGGGCCTGAATTTTTCAAATTGCTGTCTAAGGAGAAATTCCCAAACCTGCCAGATTTTGGACTGAAAATGACATCAATGTTCGGAAGCACATATATATGTGAAATGCCTTTTCCTACATGAAATACATTAAAAACCCCAACAGAAGCAACCTTACCGATTCTACCTTACGTCATCTCATGAGACTGTCTACAACTGAACTGGCAGTGGACATTTCTTCATTGGTGGATGAAGCCGATCGACCACAGTCTTCACATTAAATATATTTTCATTTGTATTACAATGTTTGTCTTAGTTCTTGAAAAAACTATCTCTACAATGTAGAGTCTACATTTTCTGTATATATAAAAAATGTAGATGTTGAGTAATAAAAGAAATAATACTACTTTTTTGTTTTAATTATTTTTATACCTCTCATTATTTTGTTGTTACTTTAATAAAATTAGTATATGGCCCGCAACCAGATCAGAGGTTTAAGTTTTGGCCCTTGAGGCCATGCAAGTTGGACACCCCTGTGATAACACATCAGCAAAAATTGATTACAAAAGTACAAATCATAAATAATTATAGCTGTCTGAGAGAAATATACTAAATTCAAGGAAAACATATCAATAGGACTAATAATCACAATATTAGTTAAAAAATTATATTTATGTTTATTTAACTATATACATTATAATTTATTAAATATATCTACATGTTATTGTTATTATAAAGCCCAAAAGTATAGTAGGCATTCCCTTAAATACAGGTATCCACTCGCTTATGAATATAGGATACTAGAATGAAACAAGTTATAGGAAAAAAAATTATATCTGACAATTGTTAATAATTTATTTAAGAATAAGGTTTATAGAACTTAAGTACATTTTTCAAAAATTACAAAAATAATTGTTTATGTTTATTTTATTTGACCCAAAAATCTTCTTGAAATTTTAAAAATTGACCATTAAATACATCCTAACATTTTCTTAAAAATCACTATTTATTAAATATTTAATAATGTAGTCTTAAACGGGTTGGAAAAAGATTAAAAGACCTTACCTGGTAGAAATATCTGCTCGACAGATGTCTGCATAGACTATCTCCAATGACTAGCGAATCCAATATTTCAAAAGTCGACAAATCGACCACTGATTCGGCGGATACGGGGATAATAAATAAGTGACAAATTAAAATTGATTACACTTGAAACTTTAAAGTATTAATGGCTTCAGGAAATATTAGAAGGAAATTGTATGTGTTTACTCTCGACTCCGTTGTTGATGTGACAAATATTTCATACGAACTATTGTTAGTTGAACAATTTAATTTAAAACGTCATAACACCGCGTTATTGTTAGTAGCCAATAACAGTTATTGTGCGAATGATGTAATTTTTTTTCAATTTTTTCAAAAATGTCGTGTACCATCAACTAAATCTTCTGATGAGAACCGTATATAAGTTTTTATAATAATATTGATACCCAGTAGGTTATATATGACATAATGTCGATATAAAATATGTAATTCGCTCAGTGTAATGCCCAGGAATTTTCAATGAGAGGTAGTGATGTTAAAAGTAATAATAATAAAATTAAGAGATTGTGATTTGAAGCCAACAACTTTACAAGGAGACTTTAATGGTTAGGCTATTCAAATCGCTTGTAACTCATAAAATTATTATTTTAAAAGTGTTGATAAATCATAGTTGTATTATGAATGCATTTAAAAAAAAAAGACAATCGAATCTTATCTTTTAACCTCCCCTCCCTCTGAACCAGGCCGTCATTAGGATGGGGCAGGGTGTGCAACAGCACCTCTAACTTAAAAATTATTGGCAATTGACTCGCCATTAATACTCCAATGTGCCTTTATAATAAACTTATGCATTATGTTTTCATATATTATATATTAAATAAAATATATATTTAATAGTACTTATATATTTTTTCCAAGTTTTTTTTGTTGAATTTTTGGTTTTTCAGCTTTCTTATCAGATGTTTACGACGTGTGGAGTTGATTTACGCGCGTTGGTGAGGTATTCTATACTTGTCGGTACCTTGATAGATTAACCATTTATCATGAACTAAAGTGCCTCCAATCCTCCATGCTTTCGTTAACGATGCGTTGTGGAATCAATTAATTTGTGCGAATTACTGCGATTTCGTCTCTCAACTGTTGTAACTTGTAACGTGTGTAATCGTATTTCATTTCATGTGCGAAACTTTTTTGTATAACTACAATAACATCTTAGAAATGGATCAAAAAAAAAAAAAAAAAATTGTTGGCACTGCTCGTTTACGAGAAAGCAAAAAAAATTGACTACTTGTAGCCGATTCTTCTTGTCATAATTTAGTCAGCATTTTTAAGAAAGCCGAAATTAATCAAATGGAAATAATTGTAAGTTTTAATTTAATAATATGAATGCACCTACCTATATATTAATTTATAATGTAACTTGTGTAGGAATTTAAAGACTCACTATCTTGTAATCAAACAATTTTAAATACAAGTAAGACCCGTAGATATTTGCTAATTTAAAATAATTAATAATTAATAATTTGATGTTTTGTATTAACGATGCATTGTAATACCAAACACTTTAAAAACACTTTAATCAACCATGGTTGATTTAGGAATTAAAGTGTTTTTCGTCATACCGTTTGCCTCTTTTTCAAATAATTGTGAAATGGGTTTAGCTAGTTCCTTTACTTTAATCGCTTATGAGCTTTTAATTCTATGAATTGCTAGCTATTTTAAAGTTACATTAGTTGTAATGAGTAATTTCAATTAGAATTATAAAAGGGAAGGAAAAAATATTTACATAGATTTGCTTAAGTTACCTATATTTATATATATGTTACGGGCAAAGTATACAATTTGGACATTTCATACAATGCCCAAGCATTTTATACATTGTCCGGACAGTATATAAAATGCCCTTCGTATATTGGGCAATATAGGTAACGAATGATATGATTTAATGAAATATGATAAATCGTAAAACAGTTAAATTAAATTTAAATCATTATCTGTAACTAGTTTGTTTGTTCTTATCGTATTTTTACAATGGGGATGTCCGCTTGTCCACAAATTATATGCGTGTACGTGACATAATATATTATTACTATATTTACTGATTTATAAGTAGGGAACGGATTTATATGTAATAAAAATACAGGAATATGTACATATCTATGTAAATATAATTTATAAAATATGTGTTAAAAACATCCAAATATGTAGGAAAAAATGTAATTAAAAAAAAAAAAAAAAAAATTATAATAATTAAATTGTCAAAATGATTTGTTGCATTGAATTATTACAATATCTTTTAAATTATCAAATATTAAATGTCGCCTATTGGATCTGAAAATATTTTTAAAACGGCTAAATGATCGTTCCACATCAACCTACATGGGTTGATTAAAGCATGTTTGAAGCGCATAATATCAGAAGGTGATAATTCCAAATTTTTAGAAGGGTGTCTGCCACTCATTATGTCATTGATTGATTGAAAATCAATGTAACTTGGAATTTTTTTCTGTAACAGCATTAATTTTCTTTTTTACAACATTTCCTATTGGTCCGTTTACAAGTTTTCATTTTGCTATCGTTGATTCGACAATTTGCATACTTTCATTTAAGGACATATTTCTAATTTTGTAAATGTATGTGCAATAAAACTAAAATTCACCGAGATGAAAATTAAATTAGTTTTTATGTTTCATTTTCCATAATATTTTGAGCTTTACTAATAGCGATAGAAGTTACTGGATCCAAATTTGAAATAATTTCTTGTACTTTTGTACGAAGAAGACGTATGAATGATAAAATTATGAAATATTTAAAAATATGTAATTATATCAAAATATGTAAAAATATGTAAAATAAAAGTAGCATTATATTAATAGAAATAATTTAAATCATGAACATTTCTTATCGAATCTTAAATATCTCTTTTTAATAAAAATATGTATTTACATATAAATCCTTTCCCTACTTATAAGTTATATTATATGAAATTTTAGTGATTATCGTGCAGTCGGTTTTTTACCCATTCTCAAAAATGAACTATTTAGTAATCGTGAATCGTTTGTATAGTGCAGGTTAATTAATTCAGTGCGTACATAACAACTTATTCGAATATGGAAAAGTTTAATGAAGATTTAAACAATTTGTTAAAAAAAAAGGTTCAAATACTTCATTTTTTACCAAGTTAAAATTTTATCAATTAATTTTACATGAAAATCTATTACAAAACAATTCAAAGAAAAAGGAACCGAATGATTATAAACTTTTAAAAAAATATGACGTGTTAAAAGTTTCTGATGTTAATAAGTTAATTGTACCAGTATCCGAAAACAACGAAATTAAATATTATGTAGGTACATAATAAAGAGTTATTTGATGTTATACATAAGGTTCATTTATCGATTAGACATGGTGAACGAAACAGGATGGAACATGAGGTAAATACAAAATATAAAAATATCACCAGAGATATGATTATGCTATATTTAAATAGTTGCAAATCATGTAAAAGAAAAGCCACAGCCAAGAAATGATTGGTGTTGCAATCAATTATATCTACCGAGATGAATTAATCAATAATATAAATACATGTCATTATTCATTGATTTATCATATTTCATTAAATCATATCAACTGTTATCTATATTGCCCAATATACTGTCCGGACAATGTATAAAATGCCCAAATTGTATACTTATATATATATATTTTTTTTATGGCCTGGGTAAATGTCAGAATTGGCTTGCCTAAAAGTTCGCACACTTGGAAAAAATATTGAAATGACGCCCTTGCTGCGCTCTGTATCTGATTTTTGCTTCCGAATTTGTACGAGTCATACACAGGCACGGATTCAGTGGGGGCGGTAGGGGTAAATGGTAAATACTCGTGAAATAATATATAAATAAATAAATTGTTCACATACAGA